TCGACCTGGAGGAGATGGGATTTTATAGGATTATTAGGGATTGGTCGGATACAGCTCGACTATGCTTTGATCACGGCCATGATTGAGCGATGGCGACCGGAGACGCACACTTTCCATCTTCCCATTGGCGAGGCCACCATCACACTCCAGGACGCAGAGATTTTATATGGCCTGTCCGCTGATGGCTTGCCTGTTTTACTCCCTACGACCATGAGATATTATCCGCGGGAGGCATATTGGGATATGCTGCACATGCTCACTGGTTTCATGCCGGAGGGCCAGGAGGTAGCGTCTGGGGTCAGTCGCATACAGTTAGTCCCCATTAGAGACCACCTGGTGCAGCTCCACGATACTATCACCGACGAGTCAGCGGAGGTGGATGTGCAGCGATACACGAGGCTGTTGCTGCTCCTTCTATTTGGGGGGGGTCTTGTTCCCGAACACTTCGGGGAACCTAGTGAGCCTCCGTTTTCTGCATCATATCACCCGGTTCGAGGATACAGCCAGCTACAGCTGGGGTGGTGCTGTCCTCTCATTTTTGTACAGGCAGATGTGTCGGGCTTCCATGGGCACACAGAGAGACGTTTGTGGCTTCCTGCCGCTTCTACAGGTGACAACATATTCAACGAATATGTCCGTTAGTTACAATTCTACGTAGTTATAGTTTATCTGACACTATACATCAACTTTCTATGTTAGGTTTGGGTCTATGAGCGATTTCTGCAGCTTCGGCCACCTCTACCACAGCTACCGGCTAATGTAGACATTCCGAATCTCCCTCTAGCTTGTAGGTGGGTTATGCGTCGTAGACTTGAACGAGAGTATGATGCCCGTCATAATCTCCCCCGCATCAGGGATGTCTTGGATTTGCTGGAGGACGCACAGGTGAATATCTAACTAAACATACCAGTTATTGTTTAATTTAGTGTTGCGCATACTAACGGTTTGTGTTGTTATTTGATAGTTCATCTGGACGCCGTACAACGAGGAGGTGATCGGTACCCTGCCAGCGTATTGTACGTTCGACCGACATATTTGGAGGGCTTCTGTCCCTCTCACATGCCTCGATATTGTGGAGCATCATGCCTCAGAGCGGGTTTTTCGTCAGTTTGGCCTGCCGCAGCCTATACCGACTCCGCCTGCATGACATCTTTTACATTATGAGAGGGATGATCGGTCTAGGGTGGACGACACAGTTATTGACTGGCTTAACGCCCAGCTGGCTATTTGGGACAGGCGAGGTGACTTAAACCCAACTCCGCAGCACTTTCCTATTGAAGGTTATATGGCATGGTACCGCACTGTTTCCCGACTTTTTATCGGGAACCCAGTTCATCAGGCAGAAGGTCGGTACGTCCCATACGCCGGGAGACACGAGGCTCTGGTATGTTTTCTGTTATAATTAATTATATACCTATAATTTCGTGCCAAATACGTAGTTTAAATTCTTTACTTTTGCGCAGGCGATTGGATTGCATACGGTCTATCGTATGGGGCAGCAGATGCAGAGTTATGTCCACGATCCTGTGGTCATGCAGGACTACAGTCGTCGATTCATGGATTTGGCTGCCCAGACATTACAGCGAGCCCGATCGGATCAGCGTTTAGCACACGAGGCTGATTATATTGACCCAGCCACGTACCAGCGAGGTCGTGGTATCCCACGAGGTGGTGGTGCCCGACGAGGTGGTGATGCCCGACGAGCTGCTGGTGCCCGACGACCTCGTGCTGCCCGAGGAGGTGGTGTTCAGCAGGGGGGCCATGATGCTCCTGACGATGATGTTGCTGCTGATATGACAGGTGGCATGCATGAGACTGACATGCCATCTTACAGCCTGGGAATTTTTGACACTCCAGTGCCATCACAGATGACCCCATCGGGTCAACTATTGATCACGGGCTCGGATTTTCAAGGAGCTGAGTGGGGTAGATATTTCCCTGGCCCGTCTACCACTGATGAGGGTCGACCGACCCGAGATTTATTTAGTGGGCGCCGACTGAGTTATGGCAGCTCTTCACATGCGCAGGTATGAGTTTATTAGTATTGAATTTGAATTTGTTTTAACTATAACTTATTTATTTTGTTACACTATATTAATTTCCTTATCTCAGGACTCATGTGATGCTGCGACAGATGACTACATTCAGGATCCAGACACGATTATGGTAAGATAATATAAATTGTTATGAATTATTTATGAATTATTATGTAGTTTTCTAAACTAAGTTTTATATTATTATGTAGCATTCTACTGGACCTGACAGCACCATCGATACATGTCATCCTGCGCCGCATCCGGCTATAAGGAGAAAACATGATGATGATGATGATCCTGATAGCGTACCCGGGCGGGAGGGGATACGCCTCAGGCCGACGGATACATTGAGACACACTGGATGCGGGACACATTGAGTCGGCCTTCCTTTTTTTTATTTGGTGTAAATAATATTCTTGTACATATTAACAACAATATTTAATTGAGTATATCCATTACTTTTTTTAGTTCTCCATGTGTTTTATTGTTTCGTATAACAACACAAGCATTTAAACTTAAATGCCACTAATTAAAATAAATTTCAGTACAACAAACAAGGAAAACATAACAACAACACAAACATAACATGCCAACATAATAAAAATACATAAAATATGAAAAATACACTAAGCACATACAGGCCATTGTTTAGTCCCGGCTGCCATTTATTCTCCGCTCCAACCACTTAAATCGTTGTTCCATTTGTTCTTTTTCTTCTTCTAACTCTTTCACTCTCGCCTTCACCTCCGCAAGTTCCCGTTTATATATTTTTTTACGTTCCTTCTGTGCTTCACAATTCCATTCTGCTCTCCATTTTTCATCTCCTACCTGCTTTAGTTTCTCCCTCATTTCTGTAATTATTCTATCGCTTTCTCTTTGTACTCCCAGTTGGCATAACCACTTATTATGAAGAGATTGTAGTTGTTCTCTGTAGCATTCCTGATAACATGGTTCATCAACCCATTCATCAAACTCACACATAGGTTCGCCGGGAACCTTGTACAACTGGTTCATACAGTGCCAGTAGCGGCGTCCAACACCACGACCTTCCCAGCAACTGTTCATCACGCATGCTTTTCCACAGTAGCACATTGGTGGACGAAGAGGTTGAGCCATTTGTGAAATATTTCCTTTTAGTAAAAAAAATCTTTCTTTTAATGAAATATTTGCGTTTAGTAAATTTTGAGCACACAAAATGACTACAATGAGCCCGTTATTTATAGGCGAGAGAACACACACATAAAGCCAGGTATAATGCGCTATATTTAGCGCAAAAACATGTTACATATCATGATGTTGACAAGACTACTTTATGTCAGCTGGTCAGCTTTTTCAGTTCGACAAGACAACACACACATAACGCCAGGTATAATGGCGCTATATTTAGCGTGTTACATATCATGATGTTGACAAGACTACTTTATGTCAGCTGGTCAGCTTTTTCAGTTCGACAAGACAACACACACATAACGCCAAGTATAATGGCGTTATATTTAGCGTGTTACATATCATGATGTTGACAAGACTACTTTATGTCAGCTGGTCAGCTTTTTCAGTTCGACAAGACAACACACACATAATGCCAGGTATAATGGCGTTATATTTAGCGTGTTACATATCATGATGTTGACAAGACTACTTTATGTCAGCTGGTCAGCTTTTTCAGTTCGACAAGACAACACACACATAACGCCAGGTATAATGGCGCTATATTTAGCGTGTTACATATCATGATGTTGACAAGACTACTTTATGTCAGCTGGTCAGCTTTTTCAGTTCGACAAGACAACACACACATACTAAATGAAAATTCGTGTTACATTTAAATTTTCCTAGAGGAAAAATAATGAAAAAGAATAAAAGGTGAAATAAGTGGACCGATATTTCTTCCATTATCTAGAATCAAACCAAATACTGTGAAAGTTGAATTATGTTAATGTCAAAGTATCTTTATTTTTCTTATATATAGAAGAGTGGTAATGTACTGGACTTGAAAAAAAATTATTTTATTACAAGCATAATTTTATTTCATAAATCAGGCAACATACACATATTAACTAATTATTACAACATCAACTCATGGGTAGTTAGGTACACTAGAAGAACACCCACCCCGAGCTTGATTACTGTTGCCACCCAAAGGACATTTTCTACGGTCGTGTCCTGTTTGCGAGCATATACCACATTTTCGCGCATAAACTGTATCACTAACATCCATTTGGTTCCGTATACGCGTTCTCTTCTGCACCTGTATTTTACGCAAATAGGACTTGTTACACACCATTTTAAATGGTTCAGGAGGCCAATAATGCTCAGCACCCAGTGGCTGCAACTGACCACTATATGTGTTTAGGTACTTCGAAACACTATATTGTCGATCAACATAGTTGGTTGCACCTAAACCAACTTGTTGAAAGCACTTGATGGCATGTGAGCAAGGCATGTGGTAGATGGACCATTTTCGACAAGAGCATAACCTTGCAGATTCATTTACAGTATGCACATTATTACCCCGATTTTGATGGATAGCGGTGCGAACTTCAAAAACATTTCTTTCATTATCATACTGCAAAAATGAATGCCAATGTGCTCGTCGTCTGTATTTCTCGAATCTCGTCATCGGCACTGGCAAAATTCAACACCCCTTTCCATCAATGACGTTGCAGCCGCAGACCTTTCAACGAACCTCTCCGCCATTTGCTTGAACGACATCCGCACCATGGCTGTGACAGGCAATCCTCTTGCCAACTTCAATAACCCGTTGAAAGACTCTGACACATTTGTAGTCAGAGTTCCCCATCGTCTGCCATCATCCGCATGCAAAGTCCACTTTTCAGGGTCATGTCGCATTAACCAACGATAGGCTGCCTCGTCTTCTTGCCTGATATATTCCATGTGCCTCCGGAATTTATGTTGTTGGTGATCTGTTGCTGCCATCCACATCAAATCATGCAGATCCTTATTGGGATATGCCTTCTGGAAATTGGCTTTCAAATGCCTAACACAGTAACGATGGTAGGCATAAGGTTCTTGCCATGCAGGCAAGTTCTCCACAGAACTTAAGATACCACCGTGCCGATCAGATATTAGACAGATACCAGAACGTTGTTTCACAACGTGCTCTTTCATATGGTTCAAAAACAACGTCCACGTCTCTTGGCTTTCATTGGCACAAATAGCAAAAGCTAGAGGAAATATCTGTCCATTAGCATCTACTGCCACGACTATTAACAGCTTGATATCGTACTTTCCATAGACATGAGTGCCGTCTATGGATATTACGGGGCGACAATGCGAAAAACCATCAATTGCTGGTTTAAACGCCCAGAACACGTAATTGAATATATATTCTGGTTTACCTGCACTTCGCTCAAGCTTCCACTCAACAACTGTCCCGGGGTTAAAATGCTGTAGTGCAGCCATGTACCTAGGCAGATCTGCAAATGACTTATCCCAGTTACCATACACTATTTCAAACGATCGTTTGCGCCCGAGAAATGCCTTTCTTTTATTAATGGTATGGCCATGTTCCTGCTGGACTGATGTAATGCACTCTTTGATTTTATACCTTATGGACTGTTCGATGTGTGGAATAAGAACAAGAGAAATCAAGTCAATATCCAAGTTGAAGTGATTCCCGTTGAATGTGTCCATTTCGCATGTGTGGGTGGGAATGTATTTACCCACTTTCCACATACCTGTCTTCTTCTTGGTCGCACGCAACATCCAATTACATGGCCAAAACCACCTGCGGCAAACAACCTTGTATACCGTCGGACTTGACTCCCATACCTGCATCTCATGACACTCTTTTACGTTGTGCATTTTACAAGCCCTGCTTAGGCGCGCTTTATCAGGAAAAAGCATCCCCTTTGCAAGTACCGTTGGTCTAGACTCATCCCACATTGCTGTCCGGATTTCATCAAAATCCCTTGTGAGAGCTTCCACATCCGACACGGCTGGCAAGTTATCAATGTAAGGAATCTCTCTTGAATGAAACGGCACTTCGGACTCATACACTCTTCGTCTAGGGGGGTCTCTCTTCAAATCAGGTCCTTCCTCCTCATCCTCTGCATCACCATCCTCACGAGCAAAGGGTGTCTCATCCCCGAATTCATCCGCATTGTTATCGTAATCACTGTTCTGTTCCTGACTCTGTGCATCTGCCAGGTCCCGATGTAATACATCATTTTCGGGCAATTGAGTGAGTTCAACTTGCTCGTTTTCACTGCACAACCAACAAAAATATAAGCTACTAAATTAATAAATAATTTTCATATTTTGTGTAAATCACTTCACTTACAAGTCGTAATGTGATAAAATTTCATGATGGACGTTATCAATTAGGTGATGACTACCGGATGGGCCACTTGTAAAATTCATATCCGGCCGGTACCCCCTATTAAATATGTGAGCGTTAAGACAAATTCAATACAACAAATATATACATAATTAACACAAATGAAAATTAAAATTTACCACTCATCTTGTGAGTTATGGAAAGCAAGGTTTAAATTATTTTCTCGCTGCTCATTCACCGGCGGTGATAAGTTTAAATCAAAGATAACTCGTTCATCCGGAACTTGTCCGGCAAAAACTGTTCCAGAATAACCCCCCGATGACTGGGGGTTATCTCTACTACGCACAACCTCATTTTTTGGAACGTCTTCGACCTTCACGTACATCTCCAACATTGTGATTACAAGAAAATCCCGACATTCGTCCGGAGTCCTCAAAAAATCACTCAAAGTTTCATCATCGTCGATGTTAAACTCCGAGTAAAAAGCAACCCCTTGTGGAGTGACGGAATAAGGATATCTTCCGGTTACTTTAAATATCACCGAACGTTTCCTCACACTCATTTTTTTGCATAACAACGATATCAATTTATCGTACTCCATTGTCAGTGGTAATTTAACATGACACTTAGCAGGTAAACTGTAGCCCACGGAGTTATTCTCCATCACAACCTCACCACCCCAATATAATAAAACTCTTATCCTACGCTCTTCAGAC